CGGTTACAAGAAAACAAAATCAACAAAAGCACCCTTCTAACTTGACATGCTAGCACTGGCTGATAAAACTCTGCTCTCTCTCTGTTTTCTTCACTCTGAAAATTTTTCTTTTTACAAGTGCATTCATGTCAAGAGAGTGAAAAGTGTATTCACCAGCTTTCTGTACAGCTTAGGCAGCTGAAAATGTCAGCAAGATAGGCACACCATTTTGCACTGGAGCCCTTGCTCATTCTGGTCTTTGACTCCTAAAATTCACTGAGGGCCAGGGCAGGATTCAAGGCCTAGACATCCTTTAGAAGAGGGAGCAAACACAGAAATATGTTTAGAGACCTAGGGGTTGTGCATTTTTATTGCTTGTAGCTTTCAGACAGGGCAATTAAAGACCAGATTAAAATGGACAGTATCATCCCATTTAATCAGAGCATCACTGAGCAGGGTGGGATTACAAAAATCAGTACCATCCACTTTAAAGACACATGCACAAACTCACTTAGATTCCTCCCCCACTTCTTTTAGTAAACTCTTCCTTATAATCAAAAATGCTTTTCTTTGATAGAATTTCAAGCTCTCAAGCTGAAGTCTAAGTTGATTTTCCCCCATTAAGTTATACTGCATACTGTTTTAATATAAAATAGGTTTTTTCCATGTGATAATCGCATGTTAAGCTTTTAGAAATTACCTAATGCTTAAAACATCCCCTGACTATTCCTCTCATTTGGGGCTCACTATCAATGAAAACCTGGTTGCTTCCCTGTGGAGGAGATAAGCTCATCATAAATGTAAAGACCATTAATTAAATTACACTTTCAGTATCCCGTCCCTTAGCCTTTCCTAATACCATACGTATTATTTCACATTAATCATCATCTCTGTGGGTTTGCTTTTCATACTGCCTCTTTCTGAAAAGTCTCATTTTTGAGGAAGGGAGCACCTAACAGTCTTAAAAGCAATTGGTACTTTGTGTTCACAGTTATTTTCCATAATCCTGTAATGTTTCCTTTAATATATTTATGTTTAGTGACTTCTGGCTATCTTAGTAATTTAACAGGCACTTATTGAGCTCTTACTATGGGTCATGTCACTGTGTTAAATCCCTGGAACTACAAGGATAAACAAGACACTGCCTTTGCCTGGATGGAGCTCCCCATTAAGTAGGGGCAAGTAGGTAGGTAAAGATAATTATGATACAGTGAGAAAGTGCCATGACAACATTCATTTTATTTGAGGCAACATTACAGACATTTTTCATAACTAAATCAAAATTCAGAATTATGGACTTTACTCCACATTGGAGGTGGATTC